GTTGAGGGTGGGGTTAACTTTAGTTAGCTTTTTTTCACTCGCTCATGCGTGGATGTTTTCTCTGTGTGCAGATTTTGCAAGTTGACTTATTTTTTTGGTGTTCACAAAAGAGATCCTGTGGAATGTAACCTTTGACATTTCGCACTACTTCTTTGGTATGGGGTCTACATTCAAAACAACCATATCTGTATCGCCTGTGTGCACATGTATTTTTGTGTTTGTTTCATGCTAAACAATGCAAACAACTACTGGTAAACTTTTTGATATGTTGAAATTTAAATTTTGATAATGGTTTCTCTTTGTCACAATTGCACCTCTTGTTACTCGTTTTTGAGTGCTGCGAGTTTTTTTGTTATATGTTAATATTTTTTCTTTTTTTTTGTTGACAAAATTTATATACACTGTACTGTATAAACATCTCTAAATCTGGTTTATTATTTTTATAGTGTTGGCGCCCCGTGATGTTTGTACACTTATAACAATTTAAGTAGCCTTTGCAATTAATACAATCTATACAAAGTTTACAGTTTTCCCGACTTTTAGAATCTGAACATAATTCACAAAACATACAATCAATGCAGTTATCGCTTATAGACATTCAGCTGTACCGAACATCGTCTTGGCTGTCAATATTTTGTGCACAAAACCTACCGAACATTATGTAGTTGCAAATCAACACAGCATGCATCAGTGATCAATCCTGAGCGGTAGCTTCACGACTTTCAGGATAAACTAAATATTTATTTTGTAACTCAAGATTTAATAAAAAAAAACAAAAATAACAGATGAATTTCTAGAAACCTCAAATGTGAATGCAATGGCAAAACATCTCGAAAACAGCAAATCATAGTATCACAAGAAGGTACACTTTAGTTCGACAGGAGAGGGCGCTATTCAACATGGCAATGAAATGTTCGGCAGTTGAATACATTTGTACTGGGGTTGTTGGGACTGGCATTTTGCGGGGAGGGGGGGCTTGTTTTGTTGGTATGAGGGAGCAAGGAGTGTGGGGATTTTGGGGACCTGGGGTTTTCTTGCGGGCAGGATAATGTGTTGATGGTCTTCTTTTTATCAGTGTTTGACAATTTTCTTAATTTCAAGGTTCCTTTGTTTTTACAGAATGTAGTTAATTTTTGAAAAGTTTATCAATAAATTTATTTGTTGATGTCTTCAATTTTATTTTCAATAATTAATTTTTTTGTGTCAGATTTATTTGCTGGGTAATTCATCAATTCATCCTTTTGCGATAGCTTTATTGTATAAGTGTTTTCATGATTATGTACAGTCATTGGTTTAACTTTTTGCATTTCCTGGCATTTGCTGCAGGCTTTATGTTTTTGTTCGTGATTTCGGTGTGCTTTTGTCTCTTTTGTTCCTCTGTCCTGGTTCAAAATGACATCACACTACTCTGTAGGGCTAAGCGGAACAATGAAATTGGCTTCCATTTTAATTATATGGTTTTATTATTTTCTTATTTACCCTGATGAAACTTCTCAGTGGAGCACTGCTTTCAAGAGGTGCCCAACAATTGCAACAAAATCATTAGAATTACAAACAATTAAGAAAATATGCAAAAAAAATTTTAAAAGGCAGTACTGGCAAGCATTGAACAAACATCAAAAATAAATAAACACTTGCAAATAAATTAAGAGCACCCACAAATGCATTAAAAATGCAGGGTATTGCTTTTAAAATTGGCTGCAGTAGTTGCTAGAGAACATTTGAGGGAGGAGAAAGGGCATGAAATGCATAGACTCCATGAACCACAAATTTGTGTTGACTGAGAAATTGAAAATAGTGTGATATACATGTATATATGCATTAGTGATATTGCCTAGTTGTGGTTGTAGTTGTACAGTTAAACTTGTATGCACATGTATTTAAGCCAAAGGTTCACCTTCAAAAGTATTCCACCTTGAAAACCAGAAAACAATGTCAGTGGGTCGAAGGAGCAGGATGATTCATCCAGCACTGTTCTGAAATTTCTAAAACTTGGTGTGGGACATTTTTAACCACTTCATGCGGGGGCATTTTTC